AAGCAGGTACAAGAGAAAAAATCCTAAAGGCAGCAGGAGAGAAATGTCAGACTACCTACCAGAGAAGACCAATCAGAATAGCAGCAGACTTATCAGTAGAAACACTGTAAGCTACAAGGAACTGGAGTCCTCAAAGTCCTCAAAGATAAACAATTTCAAACAAGAATTTCCTGCCCAGCCACACTCAGCTGCATCAGTGATGGAGAATTAAAACCCTTCCCAGACATCCAATTCCTAAGAGATTATGCAGCTTCTAGACCAGCTCTATAGGAGATACTTTAAAAGGTATTAAATACAGAAGAAACAAACAAGAAAAGGGTGACCATGCACTTCCCAAGAGAACAGGAGAACACAGAATCAAAAGAGAATTCATTGTAACTGCAGACTTGAAAACAACACATACATCAACCCAAAAGTTAAAGCAAACAAACAACTTTATAAAGTTGATTGATAAGGATAAACACTCACATTTCAATAATCAACCTAAACTTGAATGGACTAAATCCACCACTGAAAAGACTTAGAATGGCAAACTGCATTTTAAAAATGACCCAATAGTTTGCTGCATCCAGGAAACTCATCTCACCACAAAGGATGCACACAAAGTTAGAGGATGATTACTGGGTGCAGTGGCTCATGCCTATAATCCCAGCACTTTGGGAGACCAAGGTGAGAGGATTGCCTGAACCCATGGGTTCAAGACCAGCCTGGGAAACTTGGTGAGACCTCATCTCTATAACAATTTGAAAAAAATTAAGTGGGCATGGTGGTGCGTGCCTGTAGTGCCAGCTACTTGGAAGACTGAGGTGGAAGGATCACCTGAGCCCAGCCACTGCACTCCAGCCTGGGCTACACAGTGAGACTTCAACTTAAAAAAAAAAAGTTTCTGTTGCCTGGCACCACCCAGAAATATATTATTTTGGATTAGAGAGTATTTCAGACTCTGACTAAAAAAAAAAAAAAAAAAAAAAAGACAAAGAAGACAGAAAACAAATTTCCAGGATCACAAAAGAACAACATTTAAGTTATCAAAAATTTAAAAATATATGGAAGGACACTACATAATGATGAAAGGCTCATCCGTCAACAAAAAATATCCATGAAAACAAACTTGATAACCTAAATGAAATGGAGGATTATCTGACATCACACAAACCTCCCAAGAAGACACTGAATCACTGAAGTACACCAATAACAACCCAAAAAATTGACTCTGTCATACAAAAACTACCCCCCCCCCCAAAAAGCCCTGAACCAGATGGCTTTCCAGCAGAATTCTACAAAATATACAAGGGGGAGCTGATACCAATCCTATTGAAATATTCCAGGCAATTGAGAAAGATGGAACTGAACTCTCCCTAAATCATTTTACAAAGCTAACATCACACTGATACCCAAACCAGGTAAAGATCCAACAACAACAACAAAAAGAACCACAGGTCAATATCCCTGATGAACATTGATGCAAAATTTCTCAACAAGATTCTAGCAAATTGGATCCAACAACCCATCTCAAAAATCATCCTCCATGACCAAATAGGCTTCATTCCAGATATGCAGGACTGGTTCAACGCCTGCAAGACCATAAATGTAATTAAGTACATCAACAGATATAAAAACAAGAATTACATGATTATGTCATTAGATGTAGAAAAAGCTTTTTGATAAAATCCAGTATCCCTTCTTGATAAAAACCCTCAAACACCTAGACATAAAAGGAACATACCTCAAAATAGTAAGCACTATCTATGATAGACCCACAGCCAGCATATTGCTAAATGGACAGAAACCGAAAGCTTCCCCTGAAATCCCAAATAAGAAAACCCTGCCCACTCTCATCCCTCCTGTTCAACATTGTGTTGGAAGTCCTAGCTAGAGCAATTAGATAAGAGAAGGAAATCAAGGGTATCCAAATAGAAAAAGAAGAAGTCAAGTTATCCCTCTTTGTTGACGATGTGATCCTATACCTTGAAAATCCAGGAGAATCTGTCAAAAACCTCCTTGCACTGATAAAGGACTTTGGCAAAGCCTCAGGTACAAAATAAATTGACAAAAGACAGTTGCATTTTTATACACCAACAACAAACAGGTAGAGAAATAAATAAAAAACACAATCCCATTAACAATAGCCACACAAAAAAAAAAGAAAAGAAAGAAAGAAATACCTTGGCATCTTCCTAACCAGAGAAGTGAAAGACATTTACAGCAAAAACTAAAAAACACTGCTCAGAGAAATCCAAGAAGAAATAAACAAATGGAAAAATATTCCATGCTGACAGATAGGAAGAATCAACATTAAGATTTCATCCTACCAAAAGCAATCTACTTGTTAAATTACCAACATTATTATTCTCAGACCTGGAAAAAACAACACAGTAATTCATGTGGAAACAAAAATGACTATGAATAGCCAAAACAATCCTCAGCAAAAGAAACAAAGCAAGAGGTATCACACTTCCAGACTTTAAACTTGACTATAAGGCTACAATAATCAAAACAACCTGGCTTTGGTACAAGAAACATTGTTTCTTTTGCTGAGGATTGTTTTAGCTATTTGTGGTCATTTATGTTTCCATGTGAATTTCTGTGTTGTTTTTTCCAGATCTGAAAAGAATGATATTGGTAATTTAATGGGTATTGTGTTGAATCTAGACCAATGGAAAAGAATAGAGATTCTGGAAGCAAAACTTCAATTTCTCAACCAACTCATCTTTGACAAAGATTCCAACAACCACTGGGAGAGGAGAGCCTATTCAGTAAATGGTGCTGGGAAAACTGATTGGTCACATGCAGAAGAATGAAACCATACACAAAAATCAGCTTTAAATAGATCAAAGACCTAAACGTAAAACCTCAAACTGTAATAATTTTAAAAAACACAGCAGACACACTTATGGGAATCAGAGTAGGCAACCAAATCCTGATCAAAACCCCAGATGTCTATGCCATAAGAGATAATATAGACAAGTGGGACTCATTAAACTGAAAAGCTTCTTCAAAGCAAAAGAAATCATCAAGAGAGTGGGCAGATAGCTCATAGAATGGGAAAAAATATTTGCCAACTGTATATCTGACAAAGGCCTAACATCCAGGATGTACAGGAACTCAAACATGCTAAAAGGAAAAAAACAAACAAACAGTCCCATTAAAAATGGGCAAAAGACATGAATAGCACTTCTCAAAAGAAGACATATGGGCAGACATATGAGACTTATTAAAAAGTGCTCAACCTCACTAATCGTCAGAGAAATGCAAATCAAAACCATATTGAAATACCACCTAACCCCAGTAAGACTGACCATCGTTAATAAAACAAAAAACAAAAGATGCTGGTGAGGATTCAGGAAAAAAGGGAACGCTTCTACACTGCCTGTGGAAATGCAAACTAATTTATCCTCTATGGAAAACAGTGTGGCGATTTCTAAAATAACTAGAAATTGACCTTCCTTATGACCCAGTAAATTCTTACAGTTTGAGGTTTTACGTTTAGGTCTTTGATACGCAGAGGAACTCAAATCATTCTACAAAAAAGATACATGCACACACATGTTTATTGCAGCACTATTCACAATAGCAAAAACATGGAATCAACCATGCTGCCTGTTGAAACTGGACTGGATAAAATAAAGTGGTACATATACACAATTTAATACTATGCCGTCATAAAGAAGGACAAACATATGGACTTCACAGGAACTTGGATGGATTTAGAGTCTATAATACTCAGTGATCTATCATAGAAACAAAGAACTGAGTACCACATATTCTCACTGATAAGTAGACCCTGAACATTTACCATAGTACTATAAGAAAGGGATTGGCAGTAGTGGAATACTGCCAGGGGAGGGGGGAGGCACACAACATCAATAAGAGTACCTGATGTCAAGTGGGGCCCAAAGGGAGGCCCAAACTTTCCCTGTACGATGACCACTTATATACCTAATTCTGAATTGTACCCCACATCTTTCAAATTTTTTTTAAAAGTAATCATTTTCTTTTCTTTTAGAATGACTTGAGCAGACTATTCTTAGAATTGAAGATATTTGTTGTCCTGTATACAATATATCTAGTTTACGGACTTTAAAAAAACTTTATTTGGCAGTTTTGACATGCATAGATAAAATAGAAAAAAATCATGCTTCTCCATTTATTAGAGATAATGATAACTCTAATTTACTAAGCACTTACTCTGTCAGGAGCTGAAATGTTTTTCATATATTATCTTACTTGCTCTTCATGTCTGCCATATGATGTAGTTTTTATAATCCCCATCTCACAGATTGAAAATTGAAGCTTAGGAATGTTAAGTAAGTTATACAAGTTATCTATAAATTGTAAATGGCAGAATCAGAATTTGAGTTCAGGTGTCTCCTGCTCCAAGATCTTATTCTTAGTTGTTCTAATACTCTGCCTGCCTACACTGACTACTCTTATTGAAGAGTGGGTGATGTTTCCATTATCTGAGTCACAAATAATGGCAAACTTTATACACAAATTGTACTTCATTTTTCTACAAATATGCATTGATATGTCATGTTCAGGACTTGGACTTGGGGTTACAGAGATAAATACAACATGAATAAAACACAACTTGTATATTTTAAGAAATTCTCCAGTCTAGTGGGATCATGTAAACAGATATATTACAACTTTATTAAAGCAAGTACTAATTAAATATACTCAGCTCTCTAGGACTAAATTGACTGTCACTAATTTTTTTTTTTTATCCACACAGGATTTAATATAATGTTTTTCATCTTGATAAACCATGGGTTATCTCATAGAGTGTCAAAGTTAAGTTAAACTCACTTTAATTTAAAAAATAAATATATGTGATATGCCATTTTTTTGAGGGGGGCGAGAAGTGGCATGAACAATAGTAACAGGACATGTGACTTCAAAACAATTGGGAATCATTGGGAAATAAGGATCTGAGTAGACTTTGATAAAATAATTAGTGAATAATGTGCTACCTTTCCCGCTCCCCTTTTACCCTCTAGGTGCTGAATGAGGAGCAAGAAAAGCTTACTGGGGATCTTCTGTTGTCAAAATATGATACTCTCAAGATTATTAAACATTTACAGGAAAATTGGACAGATATTGGGCTTGGGATATTTGGTCGTCATAAAAGTTTGGAGGGGGAGATGCCACCAGAGCAACAGTATATGGAGGAAATTATCAAAAACATAGGAAAACTCTACAAAGATTATGAAGTAAGAATAACCGGGGAAAATGGTAAGAAAATACCCATGATGAATAGATTTCTGGGCATTATAAAACATTTCAACAGCAATTATTTTCAGTACAACTAATATTTAAAATAAAAGTAATACATATGGGTTTAAAAACCAAGCAAAATAAACAAAGCATTGAACATCACTTTTTTGAGATAAAATTGAATTGTGGCCTCACTGTGACACCCAGGCCGGAGTGCAGTGGCACAATTCAGGCTCACTGTAGCCTCTGTCTCCTGGGCTCAGGAGATCTTTCTACATCAAGTTGCTGAACTACAGGTATATACCACCAGCCTGGCTAATATTTTTAATTTTTAATTTTTTAATTTTTTGTAGAGACAAGGTTTTGCTATGTTGCCCATAGTGGTCTCAAATTCCTGTGCTCAAGCAATCCTTTCACCTTGGCCTCCCAAAATGCGGGATTATAGGTGTGAACTACATGCTTGACCTCATTCACCTACATAAAGTGTATACCTTCACATATTTAAAATGTACAGTTAAATTATTATTAGTTTTATATTTAGGTCTTTGATCCACCTAGAGTTGATTTTTGTATATGGTGATAGATAGGGGTCCAGTTTCATTTTTCTGCATGTGGTCAGCCAGTTTTCCCAGCGCCATTTGCTAAATATGATCTCTTTTCCCCAGTGATTGTTATTGGTGGCTTTGTCAAAGATGAGTTGGTTGAGGGACCAAGTTTTTGCTTCCAGAATCTCTGTCCTGTTCCATTGGTCTGTGTGCCTATTCCTGTACCAGTACCATGCTGTCTTGGTTACTGTAGCCTTGTAATAAAGTTTAAAGTCTGGAAGTTTGATAACTCATGTTTTGTTCCTTTTGCTGAGAATATTTTGGCTATTCGTGCTCTTTTTTGCTTCCATATGAATTTCTGTATTTTCATTTCCAGTTTTGAGAAAAATAATGTTGGTAGTTTGATGGTCATTGTATTGAATCTGTAGATTGCTTTGAATAGGATGAACATTTTGACAATATTGATTCTTTCAGTCTGTGAGCATGGGATGTTTTTTCATTTGTTTGTGTCATCTTTGATTTCTCTAAGCAGCGTTTTGTAGTTCTTGTTGAAAAGATCTTTCACTTCACTGGTTAGGTGGATGCCAAGGTATTTAATTATTTTAATGTGTGACTCTTGTGAATGGGATTGTTCTTTTCATTTGGTTTTCTGTCTGCTTGTTGCTGATGTATAGAAATGTAACTGTCTTTTGCACATTGATTTTGTACCCTGAATTACAAGAATCCTTGAAAAAAAGTAGGAAACACTCTTATGCACATTGGAGTGGGCAATGAATTCTGGACCGAATCCCAAAAAAGCGAATGCCATAAAAACTAAAGATGGACAAGTGAGACCTCATCAAACTGAAAAGATTTTGCACAGCAAAATAAACCATCAAGAGAATGGGGAGACAACTCACAGAATGGGAAAAAATATTTATAAATTGTGTGTCTGACAGAGGCTTAATTAACATCCAGGATCTACAAGGAACTCAAATGAAGTAAAAGGAAGAAACCAAACAACCACATTAAAAAGTGGACAAAGGACATGAATAGACACTTTTCAAAGGAAGACATATAAGCAGCCAACAGATACATGAAAAATGCTCAGCCTCACTAATCATCAGGGAAATGAAAATCAAAACTATAACAAGATACTACCTCAAAACTACGGTGAGATACCACCTAACTTCAGCAAGGATGGCCATCATTAATAAATCAAAAAACAATAGATGTTGGTGTGGATATGGAGAAAAGGGAATGTATCTACACTGTTGGTGGGAGTGCAAGCTTGTTCAGACTCTATGGAAAGCAATGTGGCAATTCCTAAAATAACTACAAATTGACCTTCCAGAGGATCCAGGAATTCTTCTCCTGGGAGTATACCCAGAAAAACATAAATAGTTCTACCAAAAAGACACCTACACATGCATGTTTATAGCTACACTATTCACAATAGCAAAAACATGAAACCAACCTTACTGCCCATAGAAAATGGACTGGATAAAGAAAATGTGGTACATATATACAATGGAGTATTATGCAGCCATAAAGAAGAACAAAATCATGGACTTTGCAGCAAGTTGGATGGGGCTGGAGACCATCATACTTAGTGATGTATCACAGAAACAAAGGACTGAATTCCACATGTTCTCATTCATAAGTGGAATCTGAACATTAATCACATTAGCACAAGGGAGCAATTGGCAGTCACTGGGAACTGGGAGGGGGAGGGGGCACATAATAACGCAAAGTGTACCTGGTCCTATACCAGTGGGAATGAGGGCCAGTTGGAGGACCACATTTCACCTACATGCAGCCTACTTGTGTAGTTAATCCTTACTTGTACCCCACATCTCTATAATAAAATAAAATTTAATTTGGAAAGGATTTTTAGTCTATTCACAGATGTGTATATCCATTATCTCATCATTTTAGAATATTTTAACCAAAATAAACCTCAAAAGAAGCCCCAAACTAGGTGTGGTGGCTCATGCTTATAATCCAAGCACTTTGGGAGGCTGAGGTGAACGAATCGCTTGAGCTCAAGAGTTTGGGATTAGTCTGGGCAATATAGTGAGACCCTGTCTCTACAAAAATAAAAATAAAAAAATCAGCTGGGTATGGTAGCATACACCTGTAATCCTAGCTACTCAGGAGACTGAGGCTAAAAGATCACTTGAGCCCAGGAGTGCAAGGCTGCAGTGAGTCATGATTTTGCCACTGCCTTCCAGTCTGGGTGACAGAGACCCCAACTCAAACAAACAAACAAACAAACAAAGAAACCCAACCATACTCCATACCCTTTAGCTGTCACCCTCTTATACTATCATCCCCACCCATCCTCACCTGAGTTCTGTGTCTGTTTTCTGTTTCTATAGATTTCCCTGTTCTGGACTTTCATATGAACAAAATCATATGCTATGTGATTTTTTGTGACTAGTTTCTCTCATTTAGCATAATGTTTTCAAGGTTCATCCATGTTTTAGCATGTATCAGTACTTCATTTTTATGGCCTACTACTATTTTCTTGCATGTATATATCACATTTTGTTCATCATTTCATCCTGTTGGTAGAAATTTGGGTTGTTTCTACTTTTTGCTGTCATGAATAATGCTGATATAAACATTTGTATACACATTTTTGTGTGGACATGTGTTTTTGTTTCTCTTGACTATAGGTCCAAAAGTAGAATTCCTGGGCATTTGGAAATTCTATCTGCAACTTTTTTAAGACTGCCACATTGTTTTCAAAGAGGCTGCATCATTTTCTGTTCCCACCAACAGTATACGAACATTCTAATTTTTCTACCTACCTTAAAAAGTAAGAAAAAGTCCTTTTCTTACTTTTTAATTCTCACCATACTAGTAGGTGTGAAATAACATTATTGTATTTTTGACTTGTGTTTTCCTTATGACTAATGATGTTAAACATTTTTTAAAGGCTTATCAACCATTTGTATATCTTCTTTGGAGAAATGTCTGTTCAAATCCTTTGCCCATGTTTTATTTTTCTAAGTGAGACAAAAGTCGAGATTCATGCTCTTGGTTATAATACACATAGCAATATTCCAAGAACTGATATCCTAGTTCAGCATGAGTGGGTATTGCATGTTATTTTGTACTGTTATGCCTTGTATTAGGATTCTAGACAAATATCCACCAGATGACAATATAACTCTTTGAAATTTTCACATTGAATGAAATCATCTGAGATATTAGTCTGTGAAATAACGTCCTACATAAGTGATTCTTAAACTTTAGTGTGATTTAGGGATTTGATGAAAAATGCAGATTCCTTAACCTCAGTCCTTCTGGTACACTATGTCTAAAAATGCCCACAGACTGGTAATTTTAGCAAGCATTCCAGGTGATTCTGATGCCAATGGTTCATGTATCCATGTACCATACTTTTAGAAAAAGAATCCTTTGTTAGGAGCCTGTTAGTAGCTAACTCGAACATAAATGTAAAACACCTTTTCACACATACTCTAATGATATTCTTTCTTCATGTTTTAATTGAGTTGTCTTTTTATTATTGAGTTGTAAGACTTCTTAATATAGTCTGGATACAAGTCCCTTTTCAGATATATGAATTATAAATATTTCCTCCCATTATGTGGGCTGCCTTTTCATTTTCTTGATAGTATCCTTTTAAGTACAAAAGCTTTTAATTTTGAAGTTTATCCAATTTACATATATTTTTTCTTGTTTTGTTTTTGTGCTTTTAGTGTCATATCTAAGAATCCTTTGCCAAATTCAAAGTTATAAAGAGTTACACTTATGTTTCTTCTAAAAGTTTTTATAGTTTTGCTCTTATATAATATTTGATTCATTTTGAGTTAATTTTTAAATATGGTATGAAGTAAGGTTCCAATTTCATTCATTTGCATATGGATATTCAGTTGTCCCAGCACCACTTGTTGAAAATACCATTTTTTTCTCATTTAATGAGAAAATCAATTAACCAGAGATCTATAGGCTTATTTTGTACTCTCAACTCCTCCCCTCAGTCCCTGGCAGCCACTACTCCATTCTATTTCCATGAATTTGACCTACTCCAGATACTTCATATAAGCAGAATCACACTGTGTGTGTGTGTGTGTGTGTGTGTGTGTGTGTGTGTGTGTGGTGTGAGAGAGAGAGAGAGAGAGAGAGAGAGAAAGAGACAGAGACAGACAGGCAGACACACTGGCTCATTTCACTTAGCACATTTCACTTAGCAGTGTCTTCAAAGATTTCCCTCCTTCCTAAGGCTGAGTGATATTCCATTGTATATATCCCCCACACGTCACCCATTCCTTAACCATTGATGGACACCAAGGTTTCCTCCACCTCCTGACTATTGTGAAAATGTTGCCATAAACATGGGTATACAAGTATTGCTTTCAGTTCTTTTGGGCATACAGCCAGAAGTGGGATTGCTGAATCATTTGGCAGTTCTATTTTTAATTTTTTGAGGATCCACCACACTGCCTTCTACAATACCTTTCACTCCACATTCCCACCAACAGTATACAAGTATCCAACCTCTCACATTCTCACCAGCACCAGTCATTTTCTATCTCTTTGATAGTAGTCATCCTAATGGATGTGAGGTAATATCCACCTATAGTTTTGATTTGCATTTCTCTGATGATTAGTAATGTTGAGATGATCTGTGTTCTATTAAAAGAAACATAACTATCCATGTCATTCATGTATATGCATCTATATGTATTATGTTATATAATATGACCTTACAGGCTTGGAGAAAAAAATAGAGAAAAGAGTGCATCAAAAAAAATTTCTTTTGAAAGCAGAATTTATTGAGAGGACAGAAAAGCTCCCACAGTGGGAGGGGGCCTGAGGGGGTTGCCATGGTGCATCAAATTTTTATGGGGAATTCCTGGTAAAGATGGGGCTGGGTTAAAGGGCAGAGGAAGGGTAAGGAGGATAACGTTGAAGAGGAAGCTGAACCAACAAGGAAATGGGGAAAAGCTCTAAAGTGAATGTGTGTAATCCAATGACATTTATACATTTGTGTAAATCAAACATGTTTATTCATAGAAAAGTAAAATTATGACTTAGCAACAAAGTACTATTTGCAGCTGTAAAACCACAAAATTGGAGCCCAACAGACAATCAGAAGAAAATGCATGAGATCTGAAGGTGACTAGGACAGGCTAATTTTCAAAGGCATTAAGTACTCATGAGAAGATGTCCCTGCTCAATTGGGTAGTGTTTAAAACTGATTTTGTAATTACTTGTTTATAGTTTGTGTTTATGGCCAAACAATAACCACTTCTTCCCTTTTGTTAATTCATAGACTAAGACCTTTTTATTCTCATATTGCGCTCTTCCCTCATTTGCATGTGTCTGTGTGAAATAACTTTCTTTTTCCTTGAAGGCATCTCTTTGGCATTTCCTATAGTGGTGGATCTGCTGATAAGTTCTGTTAATTTTAATTTTGTGCTTAAAGGCTATTTTATCTCTGTACAAGAATTCGAATTGGGCTGCAACTTTCTCTCAGTGCTTTATCCAATGTGCTATTAAATATCCACTGAGTTTTAAATTTCAATTGCATTTTTTTTAGTTCTAGAATATATTAACTTTTCGAGTTTCTAGTTTTTCCGCTAAAATTTTCCACATTATTGAATAACTTTAAAATTTTAATTAAAGTTAATTTAAAGTCCATGCTGATAATTGGATAACATCTGGTTCTTCTGTAGGTCTTTTTTTATTGTCTGTATTATGTCTTGGGTTTTGAGTCAGCTCTTCTCATATGCCTGACCATTTCTGATTGAATGTTGATCATTGTATGTGAAAAAGTTCTAGGACAATTTGAAACTCTAGGTGATGCCATATTCCATAAGAATGATTTTACTTTTTCTTCTGGCAGGTAATTTCAGGTAGGGCAGATTATTTTAATCTAAGTAGGTCTACTGAGCTGAAATGATGTCTGGCTTCAGGCTTTGTGAAGACTTGTCTATTCTGTTCCATTCTTATTCTTAAGGTGTAGTGCTTCAAGGATTCAGGGGTCCCCAGTGAAGCTTAGTGTGTTTACCAGGGCCCCTACTCCCTAGAAAAATCTGAATTTCAATTTTTCCCCCTACCTCTGCCAAGTACATGACCTCATGTCCCAGTTTGCCATGAGAGATATTGAAAACCAGCCTCCCAAACCTGTGAGAGATATTAAAAATCCATCAAAGCACTTTTGCTCAGTGTGTCAGGTATTCCTGAAAAATTCTTTTTAGTAGAGTATGCCAGAAACTCTGACTCATTGATTGGCACTCTTGTTCAATACAAAACTATACTACATGGGAAAGCATAATCTTAATTTTCTGTAACAGCAATAATATAGATAAAATGACAATACTTACCCATGAAAGTACAGTAGGCCCTCTATATCTGCAGGTTCTACATCCTCAGATTCAACTAAGCATGGATTGAAAATATTCTGAACAAACCTCAATAAGCAATAAAAATAATAAAAATTAAAAAAACAATACAGTATAACTGTTTATATAACATTTACATTGTATTAAATTTAAAGTAATCTAAAGATGATTTAAAGTATACAGGAAGATGTGCATAGGTCATATACAAATATCAGATCATTTTGTATAAGGGACCCAGGCATCCATGGATTTTGGTGTCCATAGGGGGTCTGAAACCAATCTATTGTGGATACTGTGGGATAACTGTATATAGTGGGCAGAGAAAAATGATGTAGCAAATCGTTTAAAATAAAGGAGGAAGTCAAAATTAGGAATAATGGTGAAATTAACAGATGATTCTGAATACTCCTAGAGGATCAAAATGTACTGATGAAAGCAGTGAAGATATTTTCATTAAGAGCAAGGGAAACAGTTTACTTTTTAGTTATTTTTCTCTATATAACTCTAACATGAGAGCATTTTCATTTATTCTTTTGCAAATGAGTTAAGACAAAGAGAGGTATTTTGACATGATCTCACAGTGAATCAGTCTACTGAATTTACATTAGGATCCAAATTCAACTTTTGTTCAGACCAAAAACTATAAATTTCATGAAAACTTGAACAATGAATGACCAAAAAGTGATTCAATAAGTATGATAATCTAAATTTCATTTCTTATCAACTATCCCATAATCATGAGGAAGCTGTTTATCATCATTGTCCTCTTAACAAAATCACTTAGTGAATTTATGATTACAGAAAACTAAGGCTGATAGTTTTGGGGTATAATGCATTTGATTATCCGCTAAGAAGGCAAGAAACTTAGAATGTAAACTGTCATTGAAGAAATAGTCCATTAGTCATAAAAGCACCATGCTTATTCACTAAACATTTACTTAGGAACTGCTTTCTGTAAGATTCTCTGCTAGACAGGTTGTAGGATAATAAAAACTTGAAAAAAGATATGCCTTTGCTCAGTAGGATTTTATAATTTAGAATTGAAGTAGTAATCTTATAAATACTTCTAAAAGTTAATGCTTTTCTCATTTTTCTAGGTATTTCTAAAATTCTTCTGAGTGTGATTAATTCTCTTGACTTCTGCTCTTTCAAGTTGGAAAACTTCCTGGAGTTTCCTGATATGCCTCTTGAAGAATGGCAGGGAGTTAGTAAAAAAATTAATGAAATTAAATCACAGTTGGAGACATTGATAAGCATTATTGGTATTGTCCCACAGTTCATAGATGTAGACCCTGGCCTGTAAGTTTCCATACATTTCTTTTGTTTTGAGAGAATTATCTTAAAACTTTATTGCAATATAATTTATATATCATACAATTCACCTTTTAAAGTATACAATTCAGGGGTTTTTCAGTATATGTAAAGGTATCAGTAAACATCACCAGTCAATTTTAGAACATATCATTACTATAAAAAGAAGCCTTAAATACATTAGCTATCACTCTGCAATCCTCCATTCTCTCCCACCGACTCTACCGCCAGCCCTTAGAAATCACAAGTCTAGCCGGGCTCGGTGGCTCAGCCTGTAATCCCACGCCTTTGGGAGGCTGAGGTGAGTGGATTGCCTGAGCCCGCGGGTTTGAGACCTGCTTGGGCAGTGAGACCTCATCTCTACAATAAATCAAAAAATCAGCCGGGCGTGGTAGCGCATACCTGTAATTCCGGCTACTCGGAAGGCTGAGGCAGAAGGATTGCCGGAGCCCAGCAGGGGAGGCTGCGGTGGCCGGGAGCCCCCACTGCACTCCAGTCTGGGCCACCGAGTGAGACTCCAACTCAAAAAAAAAAAAAAGAAAAGAAATCACAAGTTTACTTTCTGTCTCTGTTGAGTTCCTTGCTCTGGACATTTTATATTAAAAGAATCATATATTATGTGATCTTTTGTGATTAGCTTCTTTTAGTTAGCCTAATGTTTTCAAGGTTCACCTATGTCGTAGCATGTATCAGTATTTTGTTCATATACATATACATATACATATACATATATAACAATACATATGTTGCCTAGGCTGGTCTGGAACTCCTAGGCTCAAGCAGTCCTCTTGTCTTGGCCTCTCAAAGTGCTGAGATTACAGATGTGAAACCACCACGCCCAGCCATATGTCTTTTTATTATTGAGTTGTAAGAGTTCTTTATATATTCCAGATATAAGTCTCTTTTCTGATACACAAATTGCAATATTTTCTCCATCCCGTAAGTTGTCTTTTTATTTTCTTGATGGTGTCACTTAAAAGATCATAAGTTGTTAATTTTGATGAAGTCCAGTTTTTCTTTCTCATTGTTACTTATGCTTTGGTATGATATCTAAGAATCTTTTGCCAAATCCAAAGTCATGAAAATATATCCCTATGTTTTCTTCTAAGAGTTTTATAGCATTTGCTCTCCCATTCTTCTCTTGTTCCTATTCTTAGAGGAAAAGCATCCAGTCTTTCATTGTTAAATATAGTCAGCTGTGGGTTTTTCTTAGATGGCTTTTATCAGATTTAGGAAATTTTTCTCTCTTCCTAATTTGTTGCATGCTTTTACACGAAAAGGTATTGAATCTTTGTCAAATGCTTTTTCTACATTTTTTGAGATAATCATTTGGCTATTTTTATGATATTTCTATTTATATGATATATTACATAATTTTTTGGATATTAAATCAACCTTGCTTTCCTAGGATAAATCCTACTTTGTCATGGTGTATAATACTTTTTATTGGTATATATCAGTGTATAATACTTTTCTTAGGCATTAGATTCTCATAAGGAGCACACAAGATCAGCCTGGGCAACATAGTGAGACCCTATCTCTACAAAAAATTGAAAAATTAGTCAGGAATGGTGGTGTGTGCCTGTAGCACCAGCGACTCAGGAGGCTGAGGTGGGAAGATTGCTTGAGCCCAGGAGTTTGAGGTTGCAGTGAGTTGTGATTGTACCACTTCACTCTAGCTTGGGTTACATAGCAAGGTCCTATATCTAGAAAAATAAAAAATAAATTTTTAAAAATAATTTTTACCAGTTTCGCTGGGGTATGAGCCAGGCCTGCTCTTTATACTGTCATGCTGAAAGTCAGTCACAGAAAATTTAAAAATTCATTCTTCTCATTATATAAGAAGATCCTATGGCCTAGAAGTGAATGTAAAAAGTATATATGTTTACAATAGAGAGCTAATATTGAAGAGAAGATCTACTTTGACCAAAGTGCATCTTGCTAATTGCTACCTACCTAGGGATTAGAAAAGCTGTATCAGTGCGTAAGCCATTATACCAGGTAATTCAGCGTTTTGGTTAATCTTGTCTTGAGTCTCATACAACTGAAAGCATCTAAATTTATTAAGCCCAGTCAAATAAAACTTTTTCTCTTAGCTGATTCCTCTCTCCCCTCTCCTCCCCTCCCCTACCCTTCCTTTTCTTTATAGAGACAGGGTTTCACTCTGTTACCAGGGCTGGAATGCAGTGGTATTGATCATAGCTCACTGTAACCTCGACCTCCTGGACTCAGGCAGTCCTCCTGCCTCCGCCTTCCTTGTATCTAGGACTACAGTCAGGTACCACTGTGCCTGGCTAAGTTTTTAATTTTTTGTAGCCATGAGAGTCTCACTGTGTTGCCTAGGTTGGTCTCATACTCCTGACCTCAAGCAAGTGTCCCGTCTTAGCCTCCCAAAGTGCTAGGATTATAGGCATGAACCACTACACCTGGTTTAATAGTTACTTTCATATTCTAAGTAAGTCATTTATCTTTATTTTACTTTATTTTTCCTTCAGGGTACTCCAAACATATATATTTAACATGATTCAACAATGGATTTTGAAGATAGGCAATGAAATAAACAATGGTAACATTGAACTTCAGCGCTACGTATGTACTTGTAAAGATTTGTGAGGTTATATTTTGCCTTGGCTGGGGGTTTTTGTCAAGGAAAAACTAGGCTCTTCCTATCCAATTGAAGCAGGGGACTAAAATGGAAGCTTACGTGTTAATTCTCAAATGATTTTTCGGTGGATTTTTAAAAGCAGAATATTCCTGCCTCTGGAATGAAGTTTTAGAGATGATCAAAAGTTTTTGGTTTGTCTGGGTATGCTGGTTTCTACAACCTGTAATCCCAGCAATTTGAGAGGCTGAGGCAGAAGGATTGCTTGAGCAGGAGTTCGAGACCAACCTGGGCAACAGAGTGAGATCCTATCTCTACAAAAAGTCAGAACATTAGCCAGCTGTGGTGGCATGTGCCTTTAGTAGTCCCAGTTACTTGGGAGGCTGAGGCAGAAGGATCTCTTAAGCCCAGGAGGTTGAGGCTGTGGTGAGCCATGATTGTGCTACAGCACTCCAGCCTGGGTAACAGAGTAAGACCCTGATTCAAGAAAAAAAAGTTTTTGAGTTTTAATTATTATCTTTACTCTCTGTTCAGTCTTCTGAATATATTTTTCCTCAATGGCATTAGTCTAGGATGTGACCATTTTAAGGATTTATGTCGGATTCTGTTTCTGCCATCCTTTCAGCCCCTGACTGATTGAAGGAATGACAGAAACATGATAGTAGCAGGAAAGAGAAGATACTATTGGTCTGTAATTACTAGAACAAGTAGAATTATTCCACAATTGGGCCGGGCTCGGTGGCTCAGCCTGTAATCCCGCGCTTTGGGAGGCTGAGGTGAATGAATTGCCTGAGTCCAAGGGTTCAAGACCCGCCTGGGCAACTTGGCAAGACCTTATCTCTACAATAAATCAAAAATCAGTCGGGCGTGGTAGCGCACGCCTGTAATTCCGGCTACTCGGAAGACTGAGGCAGAAGGATCGCCGGAGCCCAGCAGGTCAAGGCTGCGGTGGCCGGGAGCGGCCACTGCACTCCAGTCTGGGCAACAGAGTGAGACTCCGACACACCAAAAAAAAAAAAAAAAATTATTCCACAATTGCGAAGAGTTGAACCTTTGGACTTCTTAGCCAGCTCAACGTGAAAGAATAATTTTCAGATGATGTCTTAGTTTACTACGTTTATTTCTGCGTCCTAGTCTTACTTATAATCTAAATTTACACAAGAATCTCTTATTATAAATAGACAGTATGTAAATATTTCAAATTACAGAATAGATTAAGTGAATTTAATTCATTTTAACATTGCTTAGCAAGACATCATGTTATATGGGATGACTACCTATGAAACACTGTATTGCATTACAGTTCCACTAGTTAATTGTAAGCATACAGACATCAGGAGTTAAGAAGCAAATGTATTCAGGCTGGAAATATGGATGCAAGGATCCCCAGACTTGGGGAAAACTCTTACGACAACGAAAATTAAGAAGAAAAAGAGTATTAGAGAGTCTGTCACATAGTGGGACTCCATAAATATTAGTTGAATGAAGTTAGGAGGAACATTTCACCAATGTTGGTGTCTGATGGTGCTGCTGCATTAATCCCTTCTTTGGCAAAATGCACAATTTACCATTTGGAATTTATTTTCATGGAATTATATACTCAACTTTTTGAATTCTAAAATTCAATGTTTATAATATAGGATTATTTAGAAAGTGCCTCCTTAACCTCTATTTTAACTCTGCATTATTATAAGCAATTTGTGTAGAAAACATGCAAGATTGTAAACTCCTTGAGGAATTATGTATATCCATATTAGCTGGCACAAGTATTTTTAAATGGAAAAGTTTGTCTTTTTTTGCCCACTATTCATTTTCCCTCTTGATCCATTTTCTTACTTCCAGTTGTTATTGTTGTTGTTTTTCCTTTGCCCCCTTATTCCAATTAACCTGTGCTGATTGACTGTCTAAAACAGTGGTCTCTAAACATTTCTTTTCTTTTTTTTTGAGTTGGAATCTCACTCTGTCACCCAGACTGGAGTGCAGTGGCCGCTCCCGGCCACCTCAGCCTTGCCTGCTGGGCTCCGGCGATCCTTCCGCCTCAGCCTTCCAAGTAGCCGGAATTACAGGTGTGCGCTACCACGCCCGGCTGATTTTTTGATTTATTGTAGAGATAAGGTTTCACCAAGTTGCCCAGGTGGGTCTCGAACCTGCGGGCTCAGGCAATCCACTCACCTCAGCCTCCCAAAGGCACGGGATTACAGGCTGAGCCACCAAGCCCAGCTAAACATTTCTTAAATGTACCTCTATCAGAAAAAAAATATTAAGCAAGTCATGACTCACTGAAGGCTCAAATTCCCGGGCTCAAGCAAGCCTTTCATCCCAGCCTCCCAAGTAACTGGGGCTACAGGTGTGCACCACCACACTCAGCTAATTTTTTAATTTTTTGTGGAGACGAGGTCTTGCTATGTTGTCTAGACTGGCCTTGAACTCCTGGGCTCAAGCAATCCTTTCACCTTAGTCCCCCAAAGTGCTGGGATTCTAGGTCTGAACCATTGTGCCCAGCCCTAACTTACTATTTCTAATTTACATGCAAGAATTACTCTATCAACATGCTTTGTACATTATAAAAATGTCAAATGGGATAAAATAAACAACATTTAAAAATAATTTTTAGTAATGGTTAAAAAATTGATATGATTAAAAAGGTTTTATAATTTTTTTATAACCACAGGTTAATACTTATTGAGAAAGTTATTTGAAGGTGTGCTTCTAAATTCTGGTTACTCTAGTATTTGTTTTTGATAACTGTCATTGCTAAAATGACAGTTCACTAGGAGATATGAATCCAAATTGAAGATATATATCACTGGCTGTGTTTTTAAATGATAATACTCATGTTTCAATTCCATCAATCAATTATGCAAGGATTTTTAAAAGTTAACTAGTGAAATTTTCCATCTATCATAATGTCAATCAGTTTTTCTTACAAACATTAGATGGTATAGCATTTCTATATTTTAACATAGTGTTCCTAGCCAATTGAAGTGCTTTATTTGTAAGATTTAAAACAGGTTAAAAACTTACTTATAGATTTTTAAGTACCTGAACTTGAGACTTTTAACTGGTGAACTCTGTGTCATTTTCAGCAACAAACTTACACCAAGATAGAAATACTTCCAACAGTCCATTTTTAAAATGGCTTCTCCATAGCTTAAGTTTATTTTACCCATTGTTAAATTCCACTTATATTTGAATGAACAAATTAAGTGTGCTTTTTTAAAAAAAAATCAACTAAGAAGTGACTAAGTACCTACTTGTCAGCACTGAAAAGGTTAGTAAGTTTGGAACAAGTCATTTCATAAAAGAACACTTAATTTATCTTAAAGTTCTTTTAAGACTTTTATTTATTTGTTCATTTATTTATTTATTCATTTATTTGTCGCAGTCTTATTCTGTCACCCAGGCTGGAGTTCAGTGGCATGCTCACGGTGGAACTACAGGCATGTACCATCACACCCAGCTAATTTTTTGATTTATTGTAGAGGTGAAGTTTGGCCAAGTTGCCTGGGGTTGGTCCCAAACCCCTGGACTCAGGCAATCCTCTTGCCTCTGCCTCCCAAAGTGCTGGGATTATAGGTGTGAACTACCACATCTGACTGGAGTTTTTGTTTTGTTTTGTTTTGCTTTTTAAGTGACAAAGTTTCACTCTGTCGCCTAGGCTGGAGCATTGAGGCACAATCATAGTTTACTATGGCCTTGAACTCCTGGCCTAAAGCAATTCTTTCACCTCAGCCTCTGGAGTAGCTGGGACTACAAGTGCATATCCCCATGTCCAATTAATTTAATTTTTTTTTTTTTTTTGTAGAGATGGGTGTCTCGCTATATTGACCAGGCTGGTCTCAAACTCCTGGCTTTAAGTAGATCCTCCCACCTTGGCCTAAGACTGTTTTTATATCAAAATCACAATAAATGTCTGTTTTAGTTTTTAAATTATCATATTCACTTTTCATCTCAAAAAGAATGTTGCATATCTTTCTGAAAGTAAAAGATACCCTTTTGTGTTTGATTTTAAATTCACCTATGATTTATTGCATGACTTTGATTCTGTCACTTAATATCTCTAATATAACTTTGAAATGTAGATAATGACATTCATTTGTGTTTATTTCCTAGGGATAGTCCAAAGATTGATTAATATTTCATGTAAGAAAAAATCAGTTATTTCAATGACAGTGTAATTCAAGCATTGGTATATGAAATTTATTTACTTTCATTGAGAAGCAGCAGAAGCACAGCTAGTGGGATATGTAGTGGTGGAAGTATCTTGGACTTGTGAGAAAGACATGTCTTTTGAACTCTTCCTTGGGAAAGACTGCCCTTTTTCCTGATATGTTAATTCAGGTGTAAAATACATCAATTAACATTGATTTAAGTCATTAACAACCTTCCCTTCTGAATTAAGAGGCAGGAAGTTTGGGATTTAATACTGGATAGGCAACCATGTTTTATTATTTGTTCATTCAACAAACATTTATTAAGCACTTACTCCCTGCTAAGTACAATGTGCGATATTAAGGGATAAAATGGTGACTCATGTCTTAAGGAGACACAGAGATTGCAGAAACATGTATAAATTATTATAACAGAGATATGTGCAAGGTGCTATTGAAATGTGGGAAAGGGAGCAAACTAAAGCCAGTGGAAATTAAAAAGTCTTCTCAGAGTAGAATATGTTTAAGCTTAGAAAAAAGAACTCAGGAACTAACCAAACAGAGAAAGAGAGTAGGGCATTGTAAGAGTTTGATGTGTCTGAATTTTTCATTTCATAAGGTTTTCTGCATATTATTTCTGGGACCCAGTCTCAGGAAACACTGTAATGCAGAGGTTCTCAAACTTTCTCTGTTTACAGTGCCCTTTTGGTTCTACTATTTTCATATTCCTAAGCCAAAAGAAATAACCTCATAGTTAAGTTTATTAAGTAGGTAAGTTCAAACAACTTACTAAATATTTAATGTCCTAACATTTAGTAGCTGGAAAATAATACGTATACATTGAAAAGAAAAACTTATTCTCATTTAATCAAAGTTTTACCCACTAATGGAGTGCATCATACTGGTTGGGCCTCATATAGTTTCTCTAACCTTGGAATCAGATAGGACGTTGCCATCTTCACTTCCTGTTTCATTTTGATTTTCACAATATTCATTTTTATCACACAAACACCAGTCAAACTAGCTTAGAAAAGATGTGATGTCATCAAAATTAACATAGCACATTGAAAGCTGAAACTGTTAACTATGTTAAGTTCATGCTGTGTCTGTCAGATATCACATATCACTGTTATTTCCCTCAATTTAAAACCCCTGGCATCACTATGAGCTTGCTGTGAAACCTTGGAATGCCTTGGTGTGCAATTTGAAAATGCAGCTTTAATGGGTTAGTACCCTTGACCAAGCTAAAGAAGAAGTATAGTGAGAGCAAAAGAAAATAGGATTACACTAGCAGAGTGATGATTTGATTTCATTTAAAAACTTTCATTAATATTCTTGAAAGTTAGACACAGGTATGATCATTTCTATTTTTACATTTCTTTGACTTATTTAAAAACGGGTCATTTATATTATAATCATTTTTTTTAACAGATTGATGAGTTGCATATATCTATGATCCAGTGGATGGTAAATTTGCTGATTTTGATGATACCTGACTTTACTGACCAAGACAGTCCCCCAAAGTTGGAGGAGGAAAGTGTTGAGAAACATGATGTAGGAGTTGCACAATTAGAGCTAGGTGCGATTGAACTGACAAGAAAATTGTCCCAATACTCCAGTTATTTGAGCAGGTAAAACTATCTGGTTATTTTATTTTTGGCCCTTTTGAAGAGTAAATGTAGCATAAAGCAGAGAAAAGAAAGGCAATGAAATAGTAGCAGTAAGAGTTTATTTTAAAATCTTGAAAGAAATACTAGTTCAGTTTTTCAGCTAGCTTCAGCACTGTGCCCAATTGGAATATGAGACTTAGGTTTTCTCTCAGTGGCCTTTAGAATTATTTTGAAAACAGTGTTAGCAGAGGCAGTATGGGAATTGTGTGAATGTGGGGTGAGAATTAGAAAGAAAATGACTCACTTGTATAAATAAGATATATCTTGTACCTTTGTACATGCTGGGGTCTGGGAGACATTTAAGAATAAACTTGTAGATTCCTGTGTAATTTCATGCAAAGTTGAATGTGTACTTTTATGTGCTTCACTAAATACCAACCAAAGCATCTTTTTCTAAAAAATGAAAAAAAAAACTCCTTGTATTGGAAAAGCTAGAAGATTCCCACTGAATAATGATGAGATCTGAAAAATTATAATCTGTTAACTAAGATGCAAGCTGTCACTATGATTACTTTAAATTGAGGGAGTGACTTTTAATGTCTAGCCAATTTTTCTCTTCATTTCAATTCAATGTTACCAATGGTCAAATGTGAGAGATGGAGGGGACAAAGAAGACAAGGGTGAGAAATTGAGAGACAAATATTCTCCTTGGTGAGTCAGTAGCTGAATTACTATGGTGAACTTCCACTGTGTCTGGATTTTTGGATTTAAACACTTGGAAGAAGAACCAACAATAAATAGGTCATGCTGAATACGAGTGTGTGTGCTCTTTTTTTTTTTTTTTTTTTGCAGTTGTTGCAAAGCAATGTCGCTGTGTAAAGCAATTAACTCACAAAAAAGTGCTACTGAAGAACTTTATGAACTGGATAATATGAAGGTAATGACTCTGTCTACTCCTTAGTTTTGTTTTTGTTTTTTGAGATTTAATTGATGTACAACAAACTGTACAATTTTATAAGCTCTGAAGTATGCACATACTCATAAAAATGGTCATTTCAGTAACAGTGAGGAACATAGCCAGCACACCCAAAGTTTCCTTGTATTTCTTTGTAATCTCTCCTTCCAGCCTCATCCTGTTCGCAGGTAGTGTCGGATCTATTTTCTAACACCAATGATTGTTTTTCATTATCTAGAAAAATGGAATTATACAGAATGTACTCTTTTTTGGTTTGACTTCTTTGACTAAGTGTAGTTACTTTGAGATTCACACATATTGTTACTTTTATCAGACTTCCATGCTGTCTATCAGACTAGTGCTGAATAGTATTTCATTGTATGGATAGACATAATTTACTTATCCTTTCTCTGGGGCATTTGAATTGTTCGGAGTTTTTAATAATTGCAAGGAAATCTTCAATGCATATTCTTATACTCGTCCTTGAATGGATATACACTTTAATTTCCCTTGAGTTAATATCTAGGAAGGGAATAGCTGAGTCATATGGAATGTGTATGTTTAACTTTTAAAGAAACTGTCAATCTTTCAAAATGCTTAATGGGTACAAAATATAGTTAGATAAAAGAAATAAGTGCTAGTATTAGATAGTACATTACAGAAATTATAGCTAACAATAATTTATTATATACTTCAAAATAGCTAGAACAGGTGTAATGTTCCCAACACAAAGATAAATATTTGAGGTGATGGATATCCCAATTACCCTGATTTAATTATTACACATTGTATACATGCATCAAAATATTACATGTACCCACAAAATAAGTGCAACTGTGATGTATCCATTTAAAAAAAAATGAATGAGCCACTTTTACACTCCTGCTAACAGTGTATGAGAGTTGCTTCACATCCTCATTGACACTTGATATAGTCAGTCTTTTAAATTTTATTGATTGATTGATTGATTGGTTGAGTCAGAGTCTCACTCTATTCCCCAGACTAGAATGCAGTGGCACACTCGCAGCAACTGCAACCTTGACCACTGGGCTCAGACGATCCTTCCACCTCACCTTCCAAGTAGCTGAAACCACAGGTGTGTGCCACCATGCCTGGCTAATTTTTTGATTTATTGTAGAGACGAGATCTCACCAAGTTGCCCAGGCTGGTCTCAAACCTCTGGGATCAGGCAGTCCTCTTGCCTCTGGCTCCCAAAGTGTTGGGATTGCAGGTGTGAGCCACCACACCCAGTAGTCTTTTTAATTTTAGATATTGCATAATGGATCTGGATAATGACATGTCATTGTTTTAATTTGCATTTTCTTAATGGTCATGATATTGAAACTCTTTTCACGCACTTATTTGTAACTCATATATGTTCTATGATGAAACATCTGTTCAAATCTTTGGCCCATTTGTTATCAGTTTGTTTGTTTTCTTATTATTGAGTTTTGGGAACTCTTTATATATTCTGGATACCAAGTCTTTTATCAGATATGTGATTTTAAAATCTTTTGACTGGGCACAGTGGCTAATACCTGTAATCCTAGTTGGGAGGTCAATCCACTTGAGGCCAGAAGTTTGAGACTAACCTGGTCAACACAATGAGACTCATCTCTACAAAGACATTTAAAAAAATAATTGGACACAGTGGCATGTACCTGTAGTCCCAGCTACTCCAGAGGCTAAGGCAGGAAAATTGCATGAGGCCAGGAGTTCAAGACTGCAGTGAGCTATGATTCTGACCCTGCACTCCAGTCTGGGCATCAGAGTGAACACTTGTCTCAAAAAACTCTTGGTCAGCCGGGCTCAGTGGCTCAACCTGTAATCCTGCGCCTTGGGAGGCTGATGTGAGTGAATTGCCTGAGCCCGCGGGTTCGAGACCCGCCTGGGCAACTTGGTGGGACCTCATCTCTACAATAAATTAAAAAATTAGCTGGTGTGGTAGCGTGTGCCTGTAGTTCCAGCTACTTGGAAGGCTGAGGCAGAAGGATCGCCGGAGCCCAGCAGGTCGAGGCTGCAGTAGCTGGGAGTGGCCACTGCATTCCAGTCTGGGTGACAGACTGAGACTCCAACTCAAAACAAAATAAAACAAAACAAAAAAACCTCTTGGTCTATGATTTGTCTTTTCTTCTCTTAATAGTGGATTTTGTTTGTTTGTTTGTTTTGTTTTGTTTTTGAGATGAGTCTCACTGTGTTGCTCAGGCTGGATTCGAACTCCCAAGTTCAAGAAATCCTTCTACCTCAGCCTCCCAACTAGCTGGGATTATAGGCATGCGCCATCACACCAGTAAGAGTGTCTTCCAAAGAGTTAAGTTCTTAATTTTGATGAAGGTCAATTGATAAATGTTATTCATTTATGGATCTTATTTTTGGTATTATATCTAAGGAAATTTTTACATGACATAACGATTTCTCCCAAGTTTTCTTCTAGAAGTTTTATAGTTTTAGGCTTTATATTAAGATCTATGACCAATTTTGCATTAATTTTTAAATATATGGTGCCAGGTATAGATTGAAGTTCATTTTTTGGCATTTGGATATCTAATTGTTTCAGCACTCTGCTGAAAAGACTGTCCTTTCTGTGTTGAGATACCTTTGCATCTTGATTGAAAACCTATTGACCATATACGTGTGGGTGTTATTCTAAACATTTTGTGTTCTGTTGATCTTTTTATCAGCATTGTTACCATTACCAAACTGCCTTGATTATAATTTTTTTTATAAGTTTTAAAATTGGGCAGTGTATATCCTTCAAATTTGTTCTTTTTCAAGATCAGCCTATTCTAGTTCTTTTGTTTTCCATATGAATTTAATTAGCTTATCAATTTCTCCAAAAAAAATCTTGCTAGGATTTAGATTTGGATTAAATTTTATCTGTTGAGAATTGACATCCTAATAATATTGAGACTTTGATCATGGTGTATCTCTTCATTTATTTGACTTTATTTTTTAAAGCAAAGTTTTGTAGTTTTCAATGTATAGGTCTTACACATCTTTTGTCTGATTTATCTCTATTTCATATTTTGGTGCTATTATTATAAATGGTGCTGCTTTGCAGTTTCTGATTATTCTTTACTAATGTATGGAATTTCAGTAGATTTTTAATACATGTATATCATACCCTGTGACCTTGCTGAGCCCATTCCTTCTCGGAAGTTTTTTGTTTGTGTTTTTGTCGAGGTTCTTTGAGCTTTTCATGTACACAGTTATGTCATCTGCGGTATGGACAGTTTTATTTCTTCCTTTCCAACCTATATTTTTTTCTTTTTCTTGACTTATTACACTAATCAGACTCTCCAGTACCAGGTGAAATAAAAGTGGTGAGAGCAGAAATCCTTGCCTTGCTCCATCTCATGGAAGTGGAACAGATGTTCTGTCATCCTTAAGTATAATGCTAGCTGTAAGTTTGTCATAGATGCCTTCTATCAGATTGAGGAAATTTATCTTTATTCCATGTTTGTGGAAAATTTTTTTTTTTTGGTCAGGAATGGATATTGGATTTTAGCAAATCCTTTTTCTGTATCTATTGGGATGCTCATAGGTCGTCTTTTTTAGTGTGTTAATAAGGTGATTACATTCATTGATTTTTGAATTGAATATTAAACAACCTCATATTCCTAGGATAAGCTTCACTTGATCATGATGTGTCATCCTTTTTATATATTGCAAATTCAATTGGTTAATATTTTGTTTAGAATTGTTGCATTGATGTTCATAAGGGATATTGATTAGAGAGTTTTGTCATATTTTTGTTAGGTTTTGATATCAGGGTAATGCTAGTCCCTTAGAATGAGTTGGGAAGTGTTTCTTACTCTTCTGTTTTAAAACAATTTGTGTAGAATTGTGTATTATTTCTTCCTTCAATGTTTGGTAGAGTTCACTATTGAAGCAAGCCATCTGGGCTTTGTGGAAAAGTTTTTAATTAACAAATGTAGAGCTATTCAAATATAGGGTTATCCAATTTCTTTAATAGGTTTAAGGAACTTTCTTTACCAGATATAGAACTCTTATTATTTCTTTCCTCTTGAGTGATCTTGGTAGCTTTGGTCTTGTAAGGATTTTGTGATTTCATCTGAATTGTCTAATTTATTGGCATGGAGTTGCTCACAATATTCCCTCTATTATCCTTTTAATAATTGCAGGATGTCTACTCTCTCACTCCTATATGAAAAATTTGCATCTTCTCTTTTTGTCTTCATCAGTCTATACAAAGATTTATCAATTTAAAAACTCAGCATTTGGTTTCATTGATTTTTCTCTATTATTTTTCTGTTTTCAGTGTCCTCAATTTCTACTCTGGTCTTTTTTTTTTTTTGAGTTGGAGTCTCACTCTGTCTCCCAGGCTGGGGTGCAGTGGCATGCTCACGGCCACTGCAGCCTCGACCTGCTGGGCTCAGGTGATCCTTTCATCTCAGCCTTCCAAGTAGCTGGAACTACAGGCATATGCTACCATGCCCAGCTAAAGAGATGAAGTCTTACCAAGTTGCTCAGGCTGGTCTCGAACCCCTGGGCTCAGGCAGTCCTCTCACCTTGGCCTCCCAAAGTGCTGTGATTACAGGCTTGACCCACTGTTCCTGGTATTCTGATCTTTATTATTGATATATTCCTACTTACTCTCCGCTTAATTTGCTTTTCTTTTTTAATTTCTTATGGTATAGCTGAGATTATTTATTTGAGGACTTTTTTCCTCCCAAATAGGCATTTGGTTCTATAAACTCTGTCATATATTAGTATTTTATAGATGAGAACCACTTCATAATTTTTAGAACCATGCTTTTCTGTAATATAAATTTTTGAAATTGAAAATAATCCAGATATTTGATGAATATCTATTGTTTAAATTAGCGTAACTTTAAGAATTTAAAAATGTATAAACATTATATTTATAGATGTTTATGATGGACTTTTCTAGGAAAATAGAAGGACAGTAACATTAACTCTAGAAGGAGGGAGAAAATTGTTCAATTTTCAAGGAAGTA